AGGAGGGCCTGGGGTGGGGGGTGACTCTAAGAGGTGACAGACTTAGGCCACCACTCTCCCAGCCACTTTAGCAAAGTCACCTTCCTGCGCAGTACTTAGGAGGGTTAAGGCCACCTTCCCCCAACCTGGGAGGCAGCAGAGGGCAGCCAGGGTGCAGTGCACTCCGTCAGATGCTCAGGAGGACGCTCCCTGGGCAGCAGAAGTGGGCACTCAGGTGAAGATTCAGGACAGCTGCCCGAGCCCCCTCAGCTGGCTCACAGCATACGCAGGTGCATTACAGGTGGCCTGGGGCCGCACAGCCTTGGGAAGAGCTGTGTTCAGAAGTGCATTGCCACCTGCTTCCAAAGCGCCTGCCTCTGGGTGAACCTGAGCCGCCAACCTTCAGGTTCGCAGCCAAGCACTTAACTGTCTGCGCCACTCGGGGGCTACAGATGAGGACTACCACCAGGTTAATCCCCACCCCGCACCCACGCTCCTTAGAGATTCTGTGGAGATACAGCTGGGCAAGGTAAGCCCACAGCCCCGCCCCTGGCCACGCCCCCGGCCCACCTGAGGGATGATGGTGATCTTGAAGCGCAGGCTGTGCAAGCCAATTTGGGCGATGTTAACGTCGTCAACGAGGATCTGCCCCTCTGCAGACTCGTTGATCCGGAACAAGCCCAAGGTCAGGGATGACTTCCCAGCTCCCGTCCTCCCAACGATGCCAACCTGCGGGGCAGAAGGGACTTTCACAGGACTCTGTATTTTCAACTCGAGGCAACAACAGTAAGCAATCATTGGGCTAAAGAGCCACGTGGTACAATGGTGAAGACTGGCTACTAGCCCCCCAAAACTCAGCCGTTCACCCCACCACAATAGCTTGTGGAAAGGCTTGGTCACTGTTTCTGTAAGGATCACAGCCAAGGAGACCCCATGGGGCAGTTCAATGGGTTGAAATCAACCCTAAGGCCCCCCAAAGCAGCAGCCTCCAGTTATCTCCCCAGTTCTGGGGGTGAGGGCCCCACAAAAGGCCGATGCAGACCCCCACCCGTTGGTCCCCATGCCCCATCTCAGCAGAGGGAGGGTCTGGATGTTGAGTTGGCCTCGACTTCGCCTGTGAGGGGCCTCGCCAGTGTTTCCGGGCTGAGCTGTCGGGCTCTCAGTGGCTGACACTTCGGACCACCAGGCCTTTCTTCTGTGACGCCATTGGGTGGGTGCAAACTGCCAACCTGTAGGTTGGCAGCTAATGGGGAAGCCGGGCACTTACCCATTTGTGCCACTCGGTAGCTCATGAATGGCCAGTAATCGACACTCCTGCCACCTTGTGGCAACTGGCCCCTCCCTCTCTACCCGAGGAGTCACTCATGGTGCAGCTTGTGTGCAAAATGCTCACGGTGGGATGTCCGGGCAGCCACTCCCATCTCCCTGCTGCCACTGGGAAGATGACCTCCCAGGAACCTCGTGCGCACAGGCTCGGCGAGGAATGCAGCACTGTCTCATGGAAACAGCCAGGAAGAGCCTCGGTCTGATTTCCGAGGACGGTCTCAGAGTCCCAGGCCAAAGGCTGGGTCCTGGGAAGCCGCCTGGCCCAGAAGCAGGCTCCAACATTCTGACAATTTCCCGAACTCCTTTGAGCCAGCCCTAACAGGATGGCGATATCTTTCTGCGCCAGAGACTGCAAACTCAAATGGCTACGGAAGCCACCTAGGTCCAAGAAAAGGGGCAGGGGGGGCCTGGTTTGGTCTAAAACATCTGAGCCTGGTGTTGCCGGATGCTCAGATTCTTCGAGAAAAGTAGGAACTGGGGTTTTGACTAAATGCCTTCTATATTTTTCAATATATGAAACTTGCTCAGTTTGAAAACCTCTCTCTGGGCCTGGTCAGGCTGGGCTTCCACTCTGCTACCCTGCCCGAGGCCCACTGAGTAGCTTCCCTTCCCCCACCCCCACCCCCACTACCACCAAAGGCCGTGCTGCCCACAGCCTCCCATGGAGGGGGCACAGCTGGCTCCATCGGTCTGGCCGTGACCAGCGCCCACCTTCTCTCCGCCGCTGATGGTCACGCTGATGTGCTTCAGCACCAGCTCCAGGTCCTCCCGGTAGCGCAGGCTGTAGTCCTGGAACTCCACGCGGCCTACCTGGGGCCAGGTGCTAGGCGGAGCCGTCTCCTCAATCTGCCAGGGAGCCTGTGATCACAGCAGGAGCACACGTGTGTGTTTGGGGCGGGCACAGGGGTGTGTGAGGAATCCAAAGTCCACCCCCCAACACACAGCAAAGGCTGAGTGAGCTGGCCCAGCACCCCCTCCTGCCTGTCTCCCTCCTGCTCACTCCGGGTGGCCACTCCACAGACATGCCACCCCGTCTCAATCCAGGCCTTTACACCCGCTGTGGGCTCTGCACCCTACATCCGGCTTGTTCCCTCCACCCTCCAGGTCAAGTGGTTCGGTTTCCTGTCCTGTAAAGTGGACACACTGCTGGCAACGACAGCACTCTGGTGGCCTAGGGGTTTACACATTGAGCTGGCAACCACAAGGCCAGTTGTTCAAACCCACCAACCGTACCTAGTGGGACAGATGAAACTGTCTCTTCCTGTAAAGACTGAAAGTCTCAGACACCCAAAGAGGTGGTTCTGTTCTATCCCACGGGGCCACTGGGGGTCACCACCACATGAGAAACTAACTGACTATATGAGAACCACTGCAGGGTCCCAAGGCTGTCAATCTTTAAGGGGCGAATGGCTCCATCTTTCTCCCGCAGAGCAGCTGATAGGTTTGAACCACTGCCTTTGTCCGACACAGGCCGACGCTTCCCTGACAGTGCCACTGGGGCTCCAGAAACTCAAGGCCAACCATAAGATCATTTGTGTAGCCACTTCTTCACTGGCATTTTGCTACTGTTATGAATCGGGCCACCCCTATGAAAGGGTGGTTTGACACCCCCCCACACACAAAGGGGTCGCAACCCACAGGTTGAGAACCGCTGCTTTACAGGGTCCCTTTGAGCTCGTTTCAATTCAACAGCAGTGGGTTTCATCAGCAACTCAATCATCGGGGCTGCACAAAGAGGAAGTGGTTCCATGGAAAATGTTTAGGAGAGGACGTGGCACATCAAAAGGACACGATGTGTGTCTTCACTATGATTATTTTGGCGGTGGTGGTGTGAAGGAGTTATCATCAGTACTACTGGTGGGTGGTAGTTCCGGAAGATAAAACCAGATCGTTCTTAGGGGTCGCATGTGGGTTATCAAGAGCAGGGTGGCATTAAAGTCAAGTCAAAGGCCCTACATTTTCTGTTAACCCTCAGATTCTGCTGCTATCCCCCTCCAGTCCCTCCCCCCACTCCCTCGTCCCCATCGACACACTGAGGACTCCACTTCAATGAGAAATCGACTTAGGGTTTCACAAGGTGTGGTCAGTCCCTCACGACATCGTGATTTTCTGCAATACCCATGGATGCATTCTCGTATTTACTTTTAGGACTTTTCGTTGTTGTTGTTGTTGTTAGGTGCTGCAGCTCAGTCCCAAGTCACAGCGATTCTACATCTGACAGAGCAAACACCGTCTGGTCCTTTGCTGCCTTCTCAACTGACCCACGCTGGAGCCCGTGGCTGCAGAACAGTGTCCATCCATCGTGTCGAGGGGCTTCCTCCTTCTGGCTGCCCTTCCACTTTACCAGGCACGACGCTCTTTCCAGGGACCGATCAGTCCTGGTAACATGTCCACAGACCCGACAGGAAGTTCTGCCATCCTTGCTTCTAAGGAGCACACTCTGGCTGTACTTCTCCCGTGACAGAAGTGTTTGTTCGTCTGGCAGTCCACGGTACTTCAATCTTCTTCCCAGCACCGTCGTTCAAACGCAGCCATTCTTCCTCGGTCTTCTTTCTGGAATGCCCACATGAATATGAGGCGATTAAAAACGCCCTGGCTTGGGTCAAGCCCACTCTCATCTTCGAAGTGACTTGGGTGCTTTTTAATGCTGCAAAGACGTCTTGTGCATTAGTCACTTCACTCAACGCAATCCGTCCTTTGATCTCAACTGCTGAAATCGCTGACAACTGCCATCTTTTCTCCTTTTATCGTGAGGTTATCTACTTGTCCGGGTGTGAGAATGTTACTTCTGTTTACGTTAAGTTGGAATCCTTATTGGAGGTTGCATTCTTTGAAGGCAAGCGCTTCAAGTCCTCTGCACTTCAGCGATGGGGTTGTGTCATCTGCAGACAGGAAGCCCCTAAGGCGCCCTCCTCCCACCCTCACGCACAGGCTTCTTCGCCGGGGTCAGCTGCTGAGATGATCCGCTCAGTACTCAGGCCGACCAAGCGTGACGGAAGGACACACCCGGACGTGCACCTTTCTGGACTGGACACCAGGCCGTGTTCCCGTGTTCTGCTGGTCCCACTCTTGGTCCGCGGATAGGTTCCGCACGAACACAATAAGGCGTTCTGCAATTTCCACTCTTCTCAAGGCTACCCACGGTTTAGGATCCACACCGTGGGAGGGATGCCTTTGCGTAGCCAAGAAAACACACGGAGACCCACCTTTCAGGCCTTCTTTCAGCCAAGATCCACACGCCATCAGTCACGATAGCCCGTGTTCCACAGCCTCCTCTGGATCTGCCTGAACTTCTGGCTGCTCCCAGTCAACGTGCTGCTGCACCCGGTATCGGATGGCCCTCAATAAAATTCCACTGCCACGAGATTGTAACGAAACTGGTCTTTGCAATAGGTACAAATATGGATTTCTCCCAGGCAGTCGGCCAGGTAGCTGTCGCCTAAATTTCTTGGCATAGACGAAGGAGTGTTTCCAGTGCTTCACCAGCTTGTTAAACACGTCACTTGGTGTTCCATTAGCTCCGAAAGCCTTTCTCTTTGGTGAATGCTTTCAATGAAGCTTGGACTCCCTCCTTCAGTACCACTGGTTCTGGATCAGATGCTGCCTTTTGCAATGTGCCAGCTCTTTTTGTCCAGTGCTGCGTTCCTGCTTTCCGTCTCCTGATGCTCCCTGCTCCTTGCCATGTTTCGCTCATAGATTCTTTCACTCTTGCAACTCAAGGCTTGGTTTTTTAATGCGTTTTTCCTTTTTGTTTTTCTAACTGTAGAGCTTTACTCCTTTCTTCTTAATACCTTGTCTTCTCGAGCTGCTCTTTGAAATTTCCTGTTCAGCTATTTCGTCATTTCCCCCCTATTTGCCTGAGCTACCCGATGATAAGAACACGCTTCAGAGTCTCTTCTGAGGTGGCTCTGATCTTTTTCTTTCTTTCTCTCCTGCTTTTTAAGCCTCATTGCCTTCTGCACGAGTGAGCTTCCTGATGTCCTCCCAGGGCTCTTCGGGTCTCTGGTGTCCCAGGCTCTCCTGGGCTTGCTTTCGTTGTCTTCATCTTCAACCTGCACTTAAATAAGGGCAATCGGTGCTCTGCTCCACAGTCAGCCCCGGGCCTGGCTTTCGCTGTCGATACTAAGCTTCTCCACCGTCTCTTCCCACAGGTGCAGCCAACTTGACTTCTGCATATTCCATTGGAAAAGTTCACTTGTATAGTTGCCTTTTGCGTTGCCGGAAAAAGGGATTTGTGATGAAGTCATCATTCTTATCACGGGACCCCCAGCTTCATTACTATCACCAAGCTCTTATTTTCCAACTACGGTTCCTTCCCCTTTGCTCCCAGCGTTGGTATTCCAATAGGATCAACGCACCTCGATGGCAAGTTGGATCAGTTTCAGATTGAACATTTTGGTACAAGTCCTCCCACTAGCTATAGTGGTTGGTGTACACATTTCCTTGGAAGGTTCACTGCCTGGAGTTCCCTGTATGCAAGCGGATCTTCTCCTATCACAGACAGTAGCATACTTCAAGAATGATCTTGAAATGTCCTTTTTAAATGATGAGTGTGTCATCATCCCCGACATAGCAAAAACGACCTCACTACCTAATTCAAGATGGCCAACACCAGTGCACATCAACCACTGACACCTGGGCGGTGCTTCTACGTGTGACCCACTTCATTTCTGAGGACTTCCAGGGCTCCTGGATTCACACTGCGTACCCTCCAGGGTCCAGTCGTGGACAGAT